GCGGTAAAACCATCACGTCCCCAGCTCGATCAGGAAACTAAATCCCTATTTGAGGAAGAACTAGCTAAACGCATATCTGAGTTCGACAGCTGTGCTCACCCTGGAGAAGCCTGGAAGAATATTCAGTCAGCCATAGATACAGCTGTAAAAGCTGTGAATAAGCAAATCCAAAGGTGAGTAAAAACCACTGGATTTCGACTGCCTCATCCGAACTGATAGATGCTAGAAGACTTATTCCGGCGAGCTCCGAATTCAATGAGGAGCGAAAGCTGCACAAAAGGAAACTTACTAAAAGTCTCCGCAAGGACCGTGAACAGTGGTGGGTGACAAAGGCGAAAGAGATGGAAAAAGCATCGGCGATAGGCAACACTAGGCAACTCTTTAGACTCATCAGGGAAACGGGGGTGAGAAGGCAAATCATAAGTGAGACTATTTCTGAGAAAAATGGCTCCTTAATTAGCTCTCAGGATAGACGCCTTGAACGCTGGAAAGAACACTTTGAGGACAATTTAACTTGCCTACAGCCACACTGAACCTCCCCAACATCCAGACACTGGTCCGCCGTCTGTAAGTGAGGTCACAAAAGCTATCAGTAATTTGAAACGAGGCAAAGCGGCAGGACCCGACGGAATTATTCCGGAGGTGTTTAAATATGGGGGTGACATACTAGTTTGTAGATTAACTGAGGTACTAGGCAAAGTCTGGGAATCAGAGACAGTGCCATCAGACTGGGGTAAGTCACTTATTATACCGATATTCAAGAAGGGAAACAAGTCCTCGTGTGATAATCATAGGGGGATCAGCCTAACGAACATAGTCTCTAAAATCCTAGGCTCAGTAATCATGCATAGACTAAGCAGAACTCGGGAGGAACAGACAAGGGAAAATCAAGCAGGCTTTAGACCAGGTAGAGGGTGCATAGATCATATCTTCACTCTTCGACAGATTCTAGAACATAGACACACTTTTCGGCGTCCAACAATTGTCATATTTCTTGACTTGAAGGCGGCCTTCGACTCCGTGGATCGAAAGGTACTATGGCAATGTCTGACTGTGAAGGGAGTGCCAAGAAAGTACATTGCACTAATCAAGGCACTCTATTCAAACTCACGTAGTCGTGTAAGGGCTTATGGGGAATTGTCATCTGAATTGGTAACAACCAGTGGTGTCCGACAGGGATGTCCACTTTCCCCATTTCTGTTTAACTTCATCATAGATATGCTGATGGAAGTATCCTTAACTGAACGTAATGACTTAGGAATCGACTTGTTACCAGGGAATAGTCTTATGGACTTAGAATATGCAGATGACATAGTCCTGTTAGGGGAGGATGCTGACAAAATGCAGAGTCTTCTGAACACCTTGAGCAGCAATCTTCGTATGTTTGGCATGCGATTCGCCCCTACAAAATGTAAGATGCTGCTACAGGACTGGACACGTCAACTCCTAACTTAGTGATAGGGAGTGAAGTGATAGAACATGTTGACCACTTCACCTATTGGGAAGTTGTATTAGCACCAACGGACTGATTGGCGATGAAATCTCAGCACGGATCCGAAAAGCTCGAGCTGCTTTCGCTGACTTACACCATCTCTGGCGTAGGCGTGACATCCGGTTATCAACCAAGGGACGTGTGTACTGCTCAGCAGTTCGCTCCGTCCTTCTCTATGGCTCTGAAACATGGCCAATACGCGTTGAAGACATGAAAAGGTTGACTGCTTTCGATCATAGATGTCTGCGATCTCTGTCTCACGTTAGGTGGTTTAATAAGGTAAGTAATGTTGACGTTAGGCGTAGAGTGTTGGGCAAAGAGGGAAAATCAATCGACGAGGCTATAAAGTTACATAGACTAAGATGGCTAGGTCACGTGCTGCGCATGCCTAACCACCGCCTCCCCCGACGGGCATTACTAGCTGATATAGGTGCAGGTTGGAAAAGAGCCAGTGGTGGCCAAACAAAAACATGGCATCAATCCATGAAATCCTTGACAGTTAAACTGAGTCAGGTAGGGAGATGCAGACTCCGGGTTGGGGCCCTCGGGACTCTAGGAATCAATGGCTGGAGACAATAGGTGACATGGCTCAAAATCGTTGTCAATGGCGCAGATGTATTCAATCTCTGTAATCTTTCATATTCCTTTCTACCATTACCCATTCTGTTTCACTCTTATACTTGTCAGACTGTATTGATTCTCTTCACTCATCTTCTTGTCTACCTCTGTGTGCTATTTGGAAGGTGGCAACTCGAACTGCTGCACTTCGGTGCCAAGTTCTATGTTGAATCCAGACAGACAGATAGATGTGCCAGAAAAAGAATAATAACATGGAAAAACATCAAGGGTTTAACAGACCTGAGAAATCACAATGAGTGAATGCATCTGCACCATTGACAACAATTTTGAGCGATATCACAAATAGTCTCTAGCCATTAGCTCTTACCTTGATTCGGAATGCGTAACTGCCTCAAATAATGTAGCTCAATAACCTAACCAGTTGGTTTGCCCCCCTTAACTAACACTCTATGACTAACCCTAACAATCCCCACCATATCGCCTCATTTAACACAGGAGATAGGAAGTAAATCTCTATGTTCAAAGACAGTTGGCCTTTTTATATAGTCCACTTTCAATGGCCTTGTCTCACAGCTGTACAGGAGAACAGAGGGGAACTGCTAAGAAGTAGACACTTCCTTTGACAGCTGGATATCGCATCTACTACAGAGATGATGGAAGTTGGTTGGCAAAAATCAAATGAACCTTTTGTATCCGTGATGAGATTTTGTCAGCAATCAGTTCATTAAGGATGACGTAACTTCACAAATACGTGAAGTGACCACCATGCTCAACTAATTCACTTCCTACCTTAAACTAGGAGTTGGCGTAGATAGTACAGAGTCAATCGATAAACGATTTTGACGTTGTATAATTTTTTTCGACACACATCAAACAGACGCCTGTGTATTCTAGAGTTAACTAATGTCCTCAAAGAGGTTTGAAACTATGTGACTCGATCCCAAAGTCTTAGACTTTACAACTAAGCTACACAGGCAACAATTAAGAAAACTTAAACTAGACAGTGCCACTAATTACTATTCATCAACAAATCTGCACACAATATCCCATTTCAAAAGAGGTTAGTACTCGTCTGAACGACGTTAATGGTTTGGTACAAATAGGTCAAATCAGATCCTTACAAAAAGTGTACCAGTACCACTTAAGAATGATTTAAGCTATGTGTATAAGTGTACTACATGCACCCAAAAAGAAATCTCGGGACTGTATATCAAATAATTTCCTTATTCTGTGGTTGCACTTTTCTCTAAATCTAAACTATCATACGCCAATGCTTTTTATTCGCTGTAGATAACTGGATTTGCCAAAAAAATATGAGAACAACAGCAACGGAAACGCAGAATAGCCTCATATTTACAATCGTACATCACTCTAAGAAAAAGCTTTCGAATACAATACTCGACAGAAGTGCATATTCGATAATTTCAATTACAAAAAGGACAGTATTACCCAAAACTACTATAAATGCCAACCACTGAGTGATTTACAGCTAATTATCCGCTTCGACGTATATATTAAGTATATAGTTTATAATTCTAGTGACTTTATAGATACGTTTGCAAGGGTCAATACCAATTCGATAGAAAGATCTTTTTAAAAAAGGGATTCCGTTCACTAATGGCTCACAGAAATAACTTATTTATAGTCCACTATGCAAGTAAATGAATTGAAATTGATTTTCGTCTTCTTTGGGTCTAAAGTAAAATTGAAAGACTACCTTAGGGCATGCAAGACAGAATTACTCTGCATTAAGGCAGGTTTCTATTCTCTCGAAAATACAAATCATAAACTAACTTCTGAGCTTTAACCATTTCTATTCAGATTGTCTGTTCACAATTTTTACTAACTTGATCACTAGCCTTTGCGTTTGCCAAACTTTTTTGCTGGGGAAATCTCGAAGATAATCACCCTGCTTTGTACCCATCTACTACCCACCCCCAATAAATTTACACCACACCACAATATATTACTCTCCTTAGGGAAACAATCAGTTTATGAAAGATACTATAGGTGTAGAATAATTGCTATGAGTGTTTTCTGACTCGATAAAGCATTCTGGAGTAAAACTGGGTAGATTTGTGCAAGAGTAATGAAATGGAAAAGGGGAGGTTCCTGCGAAGTTTAACATAAAAACGGCATTCTTCCAAGGGCATTTTCCCAAAACTACCTCTACTGCAATCATTACCCTTTTTAGGAGAGAAACACGGTTACCTAAAGAAATGGCAATCATCAGAGGATTTTGAGCGACTAATCTCAACTGGAGATTTTACGAAATCGTCAGTTTATTGAAAATTATAAATTCACATGTTCAGACTGCTTAATGAGTAGATCTTGCCTTACCCTAGCTTTTAAATATAAATTAAAGCTATTCTTCTTCTAACTTATAACCTTAATGAAACTCTCATTCCTAACCTAAAACGCAAAACTCAGCTCAGCAGCATACTCTATGCGCAAAACACATACTGTAAACATGACCAGCAACTTAGAGATAGTACTGAGATCATATGATTTCTACCCCTCTGAAACTGATGAAATCAAACCATAACAGTCCACTGGTGATATTACACACAAGCAACTATCCAACTGGTCACCAACGTGGTGGAAGCTATAAACCCTATCAGGGTTACCTAAATGTAAAGAGTTAGATACAACCATCTGGTTAGTGTTTGGAGTAAATTAAAGAATAAAGGCAGTAGTCAAGGGTTAGGATTACGCAGGACCAACCCAATAAACAGTCAGAATATAAATAAATAAAAGATTTATGGACAATCTCAAAGTTTAATCCAGGAAAATATTTTACAGTTCTTATTAAGGACTACTTTCTTAGTGTTGTTTAATGGATGCTGCACCTCATCATTGCCTTATAAACTTAATGATTCAGAAATAGACAGTCATGTCAAGAGACACAGTAAGTAACACAGTAACTCGCCTTCGAAGTAGTTGGCGTCTCCCGGAGTAACGTATGCCTTGAACTAGGCGCTACAGCAACGTTGAGTTAATTGTGCGCATTCAACGTCCAATAGAGCTTGTGCGACCTAGAGAAAACCTAACTGGTTTCTTCATGCTTACTCACTGGTTGCGGATTAAAGATTTAAGATCATTAGTGAACTTCTCACAGTGTGTCTAGCCGTATCCAATATCGTCTATACAAGCTAGTAAAAACCAATTTGACTCCTTTATGCTCTCTTACCGATTGTGAGGCAAAGGTTCCTGGTCTTCAGTGAACCTCTGAGTAATTCGTCCCACCACTTGACCTTCGTAGCTTTTTTTGATTCCAAAAGGAGTGGTGCTCAGATTAGTCATGTGTTGTTAGGAGTATGCGGTATGTTAAGATGTTTTCGCTGCTGTAAAATGAGTTGATCCTTTCACCAGTTAGTTCTCCGGTGTCGTCGTCATATAAAAGAGATAATAACAATAATAGCATATAACTAGTGTAGGTTATTCAGACTGAAAAACAGGAAAAGAAATTAAGAAAACGTAAAAAGACAGCTTATTAAATTTGAAGTTGAAATATACATACATGTATAAATATATACACATATAAATATATATGTATATAATATCGATAATAATAACAGCTTAAACTACTGGACGACCGGAATTTCCATACATCAAAATTCTTACAATTTTACTCATTTCATATTGTTTTAGTCATGCATTTATGTCGACTGGGAAAAGCCCAACAATCGCGTCCCAAAGGATGCGAACGCACGAGTGACCTTAAGACGACCAGTCATAATAATAAGTGACTTTCGCACAAAAATATGACGCATATTTACAAATTTTTCAGGTGTCCCGAATCACTGGTACAACCCATGGCACCTAGGACCACCTCGTTGCACACCAACCCTGATGTACAGGTGCCCAGTCTGACCTCCCTTCCATTCATAAACTCTTGCGGTGCTGACGCACAAATAGATTTAGGTTATGGTGACATTTTAAGCCAGTTTGTAGTATCCCGCGACTTATTCACGATATTGCTAATTAATGCACGTTCCTTAATCGATAAGATATCTGAACTCAGGACATTATTATTAGTCGCCAAGCCTACTATCAATGGAGTTGAAGATTGAACGATCAATTCTTGGTTGTTTGCTCAAAATCAACTTCCCCGATTTTCGCGGAGGCATCAATACGACAGTCATCGTCTCATCGGTCGCTGTTCAGAAAGAAGAGTAAAATATCGTCAGAAGTAATATAACGATTTATTATTGTAATATTTGTTTACAGACCTTAGTTCGCTTATTCCTTTTATATGTTGGTGTAACAATAAACAAATGTCAAGCGGCCAATCGGTGTTTTGGTTTTCTCGTCCGTTATAACTAAGCGTTTCTGAAATCTTCGAAGAACAGCGTGGGCCCGAGCGTAGCGAGAGCTGGGCATTAACGGTTTATGAGACGTGATTGAGAGTTTCTGACGATAGAAACAGATCTGGCGGATTCAAACAGCTGGTGAAAGTTTGGATAGTCGCCGTTCATTTTTCCTGGTGCCGGTCAAGTCCTCTTTGAACAAGCAATATCTGGAACGCTTTTGGAATTGGGTCAAGTTCAACAATGCCTGGGTCAAAGAAGGGACAGAGTGTCTTGGATGCAAACAGGAAAGTAAGTCATGGTGACTTGTCTGTTACTTGTAACGATGTGTCTGATGTTAAGCATGACATGGTTGATGTTACTGTTTCGCCGTTCAGGGATAATAGGAACATCAAACTCCCTAAGTTTGAACCACGGTGTTTCGATGGAAACCCAGCTGATTATTTACAATTTGTAAAGGAGTTTGAGATCATGCTGAGTAGTTTTCTATTAAATGATGAATTGAAATTGATGTATTTGGTGAGGTATTGCACTGGAGATGCTTCAAGAGCAATACAGTGCTGTAAGCTCATGCCCCCTAATGAGGGATACGCTGAGGCTATGAGCATATTACGTCAAAGGTTTGGAAGACCTTCAATGATTGTAAGGAACGTATACAAAGCTGTCAAAGGTAACGGCAGTCAGCTTCAAGATGACTCCAAGGCACTCACTGAGTTTTTAGACAATCTTATGACTTATAACAATACCTTGATTTCGATGAATTGCATGAGTGACCCCAACTCGAGCTCAGTCCTAGAGGTAATTGCAAGACGCCTACCTACGCGGCTGCAAAGGAAATGGGTAAAAATAAGCTCTCGTATAGAGGATGAGGGTATCGAGCCAAAGTTTGATGATATCCTGAAACTGGTAAATACTAGTGTCAATCAATCTATGAGCAAGTTTGCCAGTATATTGAATCTCACCCCTAGAATAGAGCAGTCTGAGGGTAAAATGCAATCATTGATGACGAATAAGCCTCAGAGAGGTGGATATCGAGAAGGTTCCATGATGTCTAGTAATGCATATAAACTTAGTGAGTGCAACAGGTTTCGTAGTACATCCTCAACAGATAAGTTGCAAGCTGCAAGAGAAACACGGTTGTGTTTCACACGTTTGCAAGAGGTGCATACAGAAGTGAACTGTGAACCAGTGAGCAAGTTCAGTGATAAGCTAAATGTGAAATCCAGGCCTGACTCCGAATTGTGTGACGATAACGGTGTGGTCAAGAAGTCTGTAGTTGCAACTGGTAAGCCGTTGTTGAATAGAGTGTCACAGAATAGAGTTACTGCTTCAGAGTGGAGTTCTGACCCTACAAGTTTACAAGGTATTACTAGTCAGAGTGAAGTTATAAAACCTTTTATGATTTGCGAGGAGGAACCAAAATTGTCTACTTCTGTTATTAAAGAGTTTGAAAATGATGAAGTTGACGGTAAATTGAATATTTGTGGTGATGATCATGATACTTCACAGTTGTCTTTGGTTGATCATTATGAGATGAGGGATATGCCTACCACTGCTAAGTTAAATAAAGGTTCTGTACAACTACAACGTGAAGTAGAATTGAACGCAGATGCAGTTGCAGAAGGTGTGCATACTTGTGAGACAGTCAGTGTAATTGATCAGCGTGTAGCTCACCTATCATCAGATGATAATGCTAAACCCGAACTAATAGTAAAGGACAGCAGTGGTAGTAATCTTGCAGTTAGACAACTATCTGACAGCCGAACCACAGCAGCTTCTGATCCACCGCTAAGTTCATCACCTTGTGTCACTCAGTCATCGTTGGTGTTTTCATCCACAATGAAACAGATGCCCATCAACTCAAGTATCTTGTGCAATGACTATGGTAGTATCAGTTCGTTTGAAAGGACGAATATCAATGGTCAGTTTAGTGAGGATAAGCCAAGTGTAAACGAGAGAGTAATTGTTAAATTGATTTGTACGAATAAAGGCATTTCTAGTTTCAAGTTACTAATTGAATGCTATTATCTTTGGTGTAAATTACTCTGTTTCTACACTTGGTTGATGAGATATGCCGTGTGTTAGTTCGTCATCTATATTCTACGATACAATGACATGGGCGTGTTACCGTTCAGATTTAAGGATTTAGCTCATAGAAGGAAGTCATCAAATGAAATCTGCGACGATTATCCAACCTAGAGCGTCAACCTGAGAAGGGTTGTAGGCGTACTGCTGTAAGTCCTACAATTATTCAAAGGGTAGCGCATCAATGAGCAGCCCAATGTGCTTAGTGTGTGATTTTGTACATATGTTCATGTTGTATATACTGAATTGATATCATCTTTCATTTATCTGTTGGTAATTCTGTTTGTGTCCGGACGACTTCCACTTGGATCATCAACCTGAGAAGGAATGTAGGCGTACTGCTGTAGGTCCTACAGTTCTTCAAGGGTAGTTTGTCACGCCGGAATCCACAACATTTGATGTAGTGATTGTACAAATGTTTGTGTTAAATAGTTGTGTGAGTTCCAATCGATGTAATTGTTGGTTAATCTTGTTTGTGTCCGGACATTCCACAAATTACAATCGTCAACCTGTGAAGGGTTGTAGGCGTACTGGTGTAAGTCCTGCAATTCTTCAAAGGAATTCCACCAAGACATGATCGGCGAGGTTGTTTGTGCTATTTGTATATACGTGTGGTGTGTCATATCAAGTGTTGTTTGTTGGATTCATTGTGTTTACTTGTTGTTTTTGTATCTTGTTCTTATTGCGTAATTTTGTTAAATTTTTCGTCGTGATTACTTCTGAAGTTGTTTCGAGTCTTCTACATCCATGAATGAATTGGTTGATGTTAAGGACAGCAGATGGGTCGTATACGCCGGGGAGGCTAGGCTATTGCTGAGAATGAAATGCACACGGAGATAATTGTTAGCTGTGGTCTCACACGCCGGGGAGAAAGAGTGTAAACGACTGAGGCTCGCATGCGTCACCGCTACTAGAACTGAGGCAGAATGAGTGACAAGCGATTTCAGTGATAATTGATAGTGAATAGAAAAGAGGATGCTTGAAGAGTATCATGAGGTGCTGCTATGGTCACGTTGCATTCTGCAAGAGTCATTCTAGTAAGTGGCGATTGTGTTGGAAGATGTCAAGAGGAGGTCTCTGTCTGGAGGCGCAGGTCGTCATTGATGTGTGAGATTGTGCTGTGGGTATGCTTGTGGTGTGTTGGCTTTTCTGTTTGTTTTCCATTTCAGCTGTGTCCGTGTGACCCAGGCTCTCGCAATGGCATCCAATTCAACGTGCATTGATCGTGAAGGGAAAAAGGGTTGGATCCCTTTTTTGCCGGGGAGTGTCAATGTAGTTGAAGATTGAACGATCAATTCTTGGTTGTTTGCTCAAAATCAACTTCCCCGATTTTCGCGGAGGCATCAATACGACAGTCATCGTCTCATCGGTCGCTGTTCAGAAAGAAGAGTAAAATATCGTCAGAAGTAATATAACGATTTATTATTGTAATATTTGTTAACAGACCTTAGTTCGCTTATTCCTTTTATATGTTGGTGTAACAATAAACAAATGTCAAGCGGCCAATCGGTGTTTTGGTTTTCTCGTCCGTTATAACTAAGCGTTTCTGAAATCTTCGAAGAACAGCGTGGGCCCGAGCGTAGCAAGAGCTGGGCATTAACGGTTTATGAGACGTGATTGACACCTACTGTAGCT